GCGGGGTGGCAGCCTCAGAGGGCACCACCCTGACAGCAACAGGAGCATCCCAGGCTGGTCCAGGTGGTCAGTGAGTACCTGCCCTGGCTGTGTGGCACGTGCCCATCACCAAACCCACCTCTGGGCCACAAAATGGACTTAAATGGTGTAAGCGAGCTGCAAAGTGGAGGTAGAACCAACCAAGAGCTGGTTTATGAGTGATTTGGGGTGTCAGGGTGGGTTACCTGCCCCACATGGCAGGACTTCCCATAAGGACTCACCGAGATTTTGTGAATTAGCCTTGGATGGGCAAAGAAAGTCACCTTGAGGCAAGTGCAGGGGCACACGTGTGTGACTGCGTGTGCAGAGCACGTGTGTGCACCCATCGACCAAAAAAGGGGCTGGAAAAGCAAAAGCAAAACCAAACCTCAGCGGCTCAGACGTTTCGTGAAAGACTTATGGGGGATTATGTTCTTAATGGGAAATTTAAGGATGTGGGTATAAATCACAGCCTTTTCCTCTAACCTGTGGGGTACCGTTCACCCAAGCCTTTGGGCTGGATTAGCTCTGTCTATTTATGTTTTAAAGACTGATGTGTTTTTCAGTATCAAAATATAAATTATTTTTACTGTATCAATGATTAAATATTTTTCTTTGAGATCATAGAGTCCAAAAAAATAAATGTTTCTGAAAAGGCATTCAAAAAATTTAAAAGAAGAAAAAAATCCCTCTGAGAACCCCTTTTGTCATTTGCAACCAATAAAAATGCCTATTGTTATGAAGGGCTCATAAATAATCTGATTTTGGCATGCTTTCATACCATACAGAAAATGAATAAATTAAACTTGATTTACAGCCTTTTTCATTTTTATTAGAGTTGCTCCAAACATCTTCTGTGACGAACGTGCCAGATGAGCTGCACCGAAGGGTTTGAGGCTCCAGCCCCGATATTAGAGAAATTAAGTTGGTTTAATTTGCATAGTTTAATTAACTAACACTGGCAAAGAAAAAAAAAAGGAAGCTGGGGGTAAAGGTGATTTTTTTTTTTTTTTGTGGGTGTCTGAGGACTAAATGAACACACCCTGATGGCAGCGACCAAAAACGCGGAGATTTAGAGGCAAAACCCCCAAAACGCCTTAGTTAAGTGACTGTGACCCCCCTCCCCCAGCCAGGAGCTCCCTCCCCGCCCTCCACAGCCCTTCGGTGAGTGTGGGATGTTCTCCTCCCCCTCCTGCAATTTATCCCGCAGAATTTCCCACCAGGAAACAGCTTCATTACATCAACAACAGGAAGACCCCACTGATTTGTCACACAGAAAAGCAGCTGTTAGTCACACATCAAGGGAACAGGGGAGGGGGGGGGAAAAAAAAACCCTTCACCTTTTTTTTTTTTTTTTTTTTTTTGCTTTAATGTTTGTAACTTTAATGGCTCTGCAGAGGGAAGCAAGTCCCGGCCATTCCATAACTAACCATCACCAGCGAGTATCAGTTAATATCCAAGTGTCTTCCTGCTTTTCCTGCTACATGATTGCTTTGGAAAGAAAGATTAATTCCAACTTTAAAAAAGAAAACACTATTTTTATCATTGCCAGGAGTCTATACGGGCTTAAAAAAGAAAAAGCACTTGCTTGTCGTTTTACATCTTGCAATTTTGTCAGTTGTTTTAAAACATGTCTCCTGTAATAAATAAGATCATTTTTATGCACTTGTTCTGCAGCTAAAAGCGAGGCCTGGGCTGGCGTGAGGAGCGGAGGGACTCGGGGATGGAGCTGGGCAGGGAAAATGCTGACTCTGGAGGTTCTGCTTCCACGGAGCAGCTGGAGGGGCTGCAGGGTGGGCAGGGGGGATTTACCTGCGAAATGGCAGGTGCACAGCAAGCACCGAGGCACAGATAAACCTGCACTGACCCCAGCTGCAGAGCAGGTGGGTAAAGAGACGCCCTGGACTCCCCAGGGAAAGCACTTTATTTTGGTGCAGTCCACGTTTCTGTGTCGTTTGTGCAATGGGGCCTCGAAAAAGCAGATTCCTGGAAGTCCAGAGTGCCATCCTATCCATCACCAGGGGCAGTTCCACAGGCAGGGCTGGGAGTGCAGGGGTTTCCAGCCCTCCCTGCACATCACTCATTTCCCAGCTGGCTTTTCCTCACTCTTCCCAAACACCTGGTGCCCGGTCTGACCCTTCCTCTGGGACGCACCTTTCTGCCCCCTCAGAGCCAGTGGGACAAGGTGGGAAGGGCCCATGGAAAGAGAGGCACTCCCACTGTGTGCCACCCTGCTCAGAGTCATGCCAAAGTTACTGGAAGACCTTGGACTTAGAGAAAAACTCAATTCCCTTTTCCCCAGCCTCGCCTCTCAGCTCTCAAAGACGTCAGAGCCCATGGGCACCTTCAGGCCTTGGCAAAAATCAAACCTCCTTAACGGCAGCCCAGGTGGGGCAAGTCCTGCTTAGGGACGAAAACATCATCAGTCATGGCTGAAAGCACTCCCTGAGGCTTCTGGTCTTCTTTGGCTTTGCTTCTACTCCAAATATTTTGTTTTCCCTTTGGTGCCAGTGTTATTTTTACTGGGCAAGGGTCTCACTGCTCTTATTTGAACAACCCTTGTGCAATCTCTGAGCAGAGAGGGGCTTGTCATGGAGCAGAACGGGACATGGAACAGGGAATTTTAATTTTCTCCCCTCTGGTTACTGTTCTCTTTAATAAAAACAGGCCCCACATGGGTTTTACAGGGAAGGATCTCGCCGGCGCCGGGAAGGGCATTGGGATCCATCATTATCCACAAGGTCCCTTTGATGGAGCTTTAATCCAGCAAACACAAGCGGGTCCAGAAAAGGTCTCTGCGTGCCAAGCACGGGGGCAGGATCAGGCCTTGGGAAGGACCTGAGGTTTGGGGAAGGACAAACACAGCCCTGGAGGTATCTCTGCTCCTCACCCTCGCTCCGCTCCGGCGTCGCCGCTGCCCTTACGCACTTGTCCCACCTGATTTTGGGTTGCTCTGTTAGGGCCGTGTTGTTGTTGGCAAACAACTCGAGTGACTTTGAGGAAAGGGTGTTTTTTTTTTTTTTACTGTTTCCTCCTTCCTTGAATGGCTCTTTTGAACGGCAGTGCCTCTCCGCTTACATCCCGCTGTCCGGATTGAATCAATCTTGCGGTCAGCTTTGGGAAGGGGGTGGAAAAAAAGAGAAGAAAAAAGCCTCACAAAGAGGGGAAATTGACAGGTCCGACCCTGGGAGTGATTGATAGTGGTTGGAGAGGCAGGACTCAACGTCGGGCTGCGCCAGGGCAATGCCAGCGCTTGCTGGGGAAATCCAGCAAAGCCTTTTTTCCCAGAACTCGGAGCAGTGGGCTTGGAGAGGGTTGGCCACATGAACTTAATAATAGGAACATTGTTGGAACATAAAGCATCTGTCAGGAGTTAATATGATTTATTAGAGGTGTCTGTCTCCCCCCCTCTTTCTCTCCTCCCTCGCTGGGTAGGCAGGAGAGGCCTGAAATCCAAGCCCACGGAGGGCAGATGTGGGGCTGAAACGGGCACCCAGCCCCCACATCGCCTTTCTCCAGGCAAAAGGTTCTCAGTTCTCACCCCATCCTGGTTCCCAGAATTTTCTCCTGTGAGTCCACATGCCCATCCCATTGCACATCTCTCCCCAAGCCTCCCGTTCTCCCACCAGCTCCCACCTGAAGCCCAGGAGAACCAAGGGAGCAGCTCCTGCCCCACCAGGACCCCGCAGTCCCACAGGTGGGACATTGCTTGGGAAAGCTCCAGGATTTATCCATGTGTCTTGGTGCCTCATGGATAGAGCCTGGCTGAGCTAGGTGGGATGGGGGATTCTCAGCCCCCTATGAGTGGAGCCCCAGGGGTCTGTGAATTTAATTCAAAGATGTCTGGACAAGGTAACTAGAAATAGGAAGTTAATTGTTGGAAGTTAATTAGTTACACAGCAGCCTGCACTGGCACAGGAAGATTTTTAAGACTTGGTAAACCAAAGAAAGGAGAAAATGCATGGGGAAAAAAGGGGTGTTGTAGGTTCATAAGGGAATTGCCACTTTGTGAGGGCCCTGAGTTAAGATCAGCCCCCACCTGGCTGGCACTGGGACAGGGTACAGCTGCTGGGTGCAGGGGTGGGGGTCAGGGTGGTATCAGGGCACGGGCACTGGGTGCAGGTTTGGGTGCTGGAGCCATTGCAGAAGGGGTGCTGAGCTGTGCCGTGCCAAGCTGTGCCAGGCTGATCTCAACTAAGCCATGCCATGGCAGGCAAACCATGCCATGCTAACATGAGCCATGCTGTGCCATCCTAAGCTGTGCCAGCAGTGCCATGTCAGCTGAGCCGTGCCATGCCACACCAAGCCAAGCCAGCCGTGCTCCGTGATGCTGTTGTAAGATGTGTTAGTGGCACCACGCCATGCCAGCTGAGCCATGCCATGCTAGCAGTGCCAGTCATGCCATGCCATGCCATGCCATGCCATGCCATGCCATGCCAAGCTGTGCCAGCAGTGCCGTGCCATGCCATGCCATGCCAAGTTGTGCCAGCAGTGCCATGCCATGCCAAGCTGTGCCAGCAGTGCTGTGCCATGCCATGCCATGCCAAGTTGTGCCAGCAGTGCCGTGCCATGCCATGTCATGCCATGCCAAGCTGTGCCAGCAGTGCCGTGCCATTCCGTGCCAAGCTCTGCCATTCCGTGCCATGCCGTGCCGTGCCCCCCGAGCCCCGCAGCCGCGGGGCTGCTCCCGGGCCGGTGCCGCGGTTCTCCCCCGCGCGGCGGCGCGGGGCGGTGGCGGCGGAGCGGCGGCGGCTCGCCCCCCCCACCGGCGGCTCTCCCCGCCCCGGGGGCCCGGCCGGGCGCGGATTGGTGCGCGGCGCCGGCCCCCTCGGAGCGCGGCCGCCATCGGGGCTATTTGACGTGTCGGTGGGGCCGGGGAAGGGCTTCGTCTCGCCGGGGCCGCCGCCGCCGCCGCTCCGCCGCCCGCCCGGCCCGGCCCGGCCCCGCGGAGCCCGGGCACCCCCCCCCTTCCCCCGCCCCAAATGAGCGGCGCTCCCGGCGGGCCCCGGCCGAGGACCCCGCCGAGCCGCGGAGCCGCGGCCGCCCCGTCGCCCCGGCCGCCCCCCGCCGACCCGCTGCGCCAGGCCAGCCGGCTGCCCATCCGCGTCCTGAAGATGCTCAGCGCCCACGGCGGCCACCTCCTGCACCCCGAGTACCTCCAGCCGCTCTCCTCCACGCCCGTCAGCCCCATCGAGGTCAGTGCCCGCCGCCCCCCGACCGCGGCTCGGACCCCCGGCTCTCCCCCCCGCCCGGCGCTCCCGGTTCTCCCGGCCGGGCTCTTCCCCGCCCGGCGCTCCCGGCTCGGCGCTCTCGGTTCTCCCGGCCGGGCTCTTCGCAGCCCGGCTCTCCCGGCTCGGCGCTCCCGGTTCTCCGGCCGGACTCTGCCCTGCCCGGCGGCCCCCGCTCCTTCCCTCCCCGCCGCCGCAGCCGCAGCCTCGCTCCCCCCCCGGCTTCCCACCCGGTCCTTCTCCCCGGCCGGGCGCGTCCCCTCGCCCCGTTCCCCCCATCCCCGCGCCCTGGCTCGGCGCCGGGCCCAGCCCCGGGGTTTTGGGGGGTGGGGGGTGAGGCCGATGCGGGGGCGCCGTCGGGGTCCCCCCCCCCTGACCGGCTCCGCTCCGCCCGCAGCTGGACGCCAAGAAGAGCCCGCTGGCGCTGCTGGCCCAGACCTGCTCGCAGATCGGGAAGCCCGACCCGCCGCCCTCCTCCAAGCTGAACGCCGTGGCCGCCGCCGCGCCCGCCGCCGAGAAGGAGCCCACCGCCCGCCCCGCCGCGCTGAAGCCGCCGGGCAGCGGGGACGCGCCAGCCGAGGACAAGTCCAGCTTCAAGCCCTACTCGAAGGGCGGCGCGGAGCCGCGCAAGGACGGCGGCGGCGCCGACAAGGCCGGTTTTCGGGTGCCCAGCGCCGCGTGCCCGCCGTTCCCCCCGCACGCCGCCGCCTCGCCCGGCGGCTCCCGCGGGGCCTCGCCGCAGCACCCCGACCCCAAGGGCGCCGAGGAGAAGAAGGAGCCCGAGGGAGGCAAGCCCAGCCCCGAGGGGACGGGCGGGGGGCTGGGGCGCGGGGCGGTGGAGCCCGGGGCGCACGGAGAGCCCCCCTCGGGCCGCAAGTCGGAGCCCCCCGCCCTGCCGCCCGCCGGCCATGTGGCCCCGGTGTCGCCCTACAAGCCGGGCCACTCGGTCTTCCCGCTGCCACCCTCCAGCATCGGCTACCACGGCTCCATCGTCGGCGCCTATGCCGGCTACCCGTCCCAGTTCGTGCCCGGGCTGGACCCCACCAAGCCGGGGCTGGTGGGCAGCCAGCTGCCGGGGGCGCTGGGGCTGCCGGGCAAGCCGCCCAGCTCCAGCCCGCTCACCGGGGCCTCGCCGCCCTCCTTCATGCAGGGATTATGCCGGGACCCCTATTGCCTGAGCTACCACAGCGCCTCGCACCTGGGCTCCAGCAACTGCTCCAGCTGCGTGCACGACCCCGGCAGCCTGAAGAGCGGATACCCCTTGGTGTACCCCACGCACCCCCTGCACTCGGTGCACACCACGCTGTCCTCCAGCGGCACCCCCAGCCTGCCCGGCCACCCCCTCTACACCTACGGCTTCATGCTGCAGAACGACCCCCTGCCCCACATATGCAACTGGGTGTCTGCCAGCGGACCCTGCGACAAGAGGTTTGCCACCTCGGAGGAGCTGCTCACCCACCTACGGACCCACACGGCCCTGCCGGGGGCCGAGAAACTCTTGGCGGGTTACCCTACCTCCGGGCTGGGCTCCGCGGCCTCCTGCCACCTCCACCTCCCGCCCGCCGCCCCCGGGAGCCCCAACACGTTGCCCGCCTCGCTCTCCTTGAGGAGCCCACACACTTTGGGACTAAACAGGTACCACCCCTACGGCAAGAGCCACTTGCCCACGGCCGGCGCCCTGCCCGTGCCCTCCTTGCCGGCCGCCGGACCTTACTATTCCCCGTACGCGCTCTACGGCCAAAGACTCACGTCAGCTTCTGCACTGGGATATCAGTAACCCCACGGCTCCCGAGCCCCAAGCCCCCCGCGCCCTCCTTGGACTCTGTATTTATTACTGTATGTTAGCTTAAAGCTGGGAATATAAGTGCATTATACACCAATGAATCAATGGTATGCAAAAGTCTGTGTCCAAAAAAAAGAAAAAAAAAAA